CTCTGGGGGCTTATGCAAGCCAAGGCATTCATGAAGTGGATGTGGGTGTGTATGTGTGTGTGTGTGTGTGTGGGGGGGTGACAGCAGAGTTCCTGGCCCTAGATGGAGGTCAGCCTCAGGATTATCTCTGTTCAAGGCACTCAATGCTAAAGTCGTTTATTGAGGCCCTTGATGGAGCTGGTTTCAGTGTCTGTTGGGAGTACAGGGCAGCTGGGGACAGAGTAACTGCTTAAATGCTGGTCTGGTGGCTCTGCAGGTTCTGTAACTCTAGAGCCAATCCCACTGAATCCAGGTACCAAAGCGGCGCAGCCAGCCTGCACCTTACAGCCGTGTGGCTCTTATCATCCCTGCTCTGCTGCTTCTCCCAACAACACTCAGCCCCCTTCTCTGACTTTTCTTCTGAAGTTCAGACTTCCTAAATTTTCATCTATGTCAGTTTCTTTTGGTTCTTGTCTCTTTATTGTCCATCACTGTCTGCCAGTTTGTCATACTGTGGCGACTTATATGTTGTTGTGATTCTGGAAGCTATGCCACAGGTATTTTAAATACCAGTAGGGTCATCCATGGTGGAGAGGTTTCAGCTGAGCTTCCAGATTAAGACAGACTAGGAAGAAGGAGAGACAGACTATTTCTAATATTTTGTCACTGAAAACCTTATGAATAGCAGTGGAATACTGCCAGCACCAGAATATTATCAGATACAGTACCAGAAGATGAGTCCCTTAGTTTGGAAGGCACTCAAAATACAACTGGGGAAGAGCTACCTCCTCAAAGTAGAGTTGACCGTGATGACGCAAATGAAGTAAAGCCTGTGGGAGTAAAGCCCGCGGGACCTTCATTTGCTGATGGGGCACAACTCAAAATGAAGAGAAATAGCTATAAACATCCATTAATAATCAGAACATGGAATGTATAAAGTATCAATCTAGAAAATTGGAAATTGTAAAAAATGAAATGGAGTGCATAAACATCAATATCCTAGGCATTAGTGAGCTGAAATGCACTAGTGGTGGCCATTTTAAATCTGACAGTCACATGGTTTACTATGCCGGGAATGACAAATAGAAGGAATGGCACCGCATTCATCATCAAAAAGAACATATCAAGATTTGTCTTGAAGTACAAC